TTAAGTGCTCGCTCACGCTCACTCCACCTCCGAAATGTCGTATGTATAGATTAGGTTGGCGGAAAAGTTCCGTCACTTTTTAAAATTAGGCTTTCTTTTTACGACAAAAGCTTTCTACAAGATGAAAATTGTACAGCAATATTATTGCGGGTTCCTTGCCAGTTTTTGAGCACTTCGTGGATGCCATCGCTTCACAATGCAGGCCGGCGCGACGCAAAGTTGGACATCATCTCAATTTGACTTGGGCTCGAGTCGTGGAGGTTTTCTCGGCCATATAACGGTTGTACGGAGGCAACTAGCAGTTAGAAAGAGCAATGTCTGGGCTACACCAGTGCAAGGGGAGAGCCATCCAGCTCTATTGCATGAGGTACGGCTCGAACTTTTTGGACGGAGTGCGCTGCACTATCATGAGGGCGGGCTGTGCGGACAAATTTTTCCCTCTGATGACGGTACGCCTTAGATCTCGTAGCTGCTTTGCGTACGGATTGACCGAGGAAGCAGCTTCATTAACCAGCAGTTTCCGCCACAGCTGCCTCAGGCTGGTCATTCAAACTGTAGCCCTGCTCTGAAGAGCTAGCGTCGTGGAAGATTGTCTGATGACTGTAGACATTGTCCTTGTGCAGCTCCATTATTTCGGCGTCGACAGCTGCCATGCTGGCGCCAGGGTGGTAGAAGAAATAGTTTAAGGAAGCGCTTGAAGGGGTCGGTGCTGAAGGTAGCGGATAACATTCTTGTCCATAATGCAGAATAAGGATGAGCAGGAGTCGAGCCAGTGATACTAATAGAAAGACCATTCCTTGATGTATAACTGCTCACATTACCGGTTACCCTCTTCAGGTAATGGGCAAGTATTTTGGTTCAAAAAGTAAGACAGAACTTTCCGGCCAACCTAATACATATTGTGCGTCTGGATAGAAAAGATTTGCAATGGGAAAAATTTTCTTAAAATTCAAAACGGACCCCTATTTCAGTGACGAAATACGATCTCGGATGGATTTTCCACAACGATGCTGTACCTAACCTAAAAGGAAAAGCAGAGTTTTCAGCTGTATGATACACTTGGCTGGTCATTCCATCACCATTAATCAAGATCCTTGCACACAGTTTATTTTGAATCCCCTCGTGCAAAGCCATCAAATACGGCAACTCCTATATCCTCCGAAAAGCTGCAAGCTTTGCACTTGTCAGTTGTTGTTCCTGCCGTTTTGAAAAAGAGACAATCCTTGTTACAATTCACATTCAAAGAACTCATAAACAACAGTGACACAATTAGCAATGAGATACATATGTTTCGTGCGACGAAAACAGATCTTCAGCTGTTGAAGAAGCATACGCGTGGGGAAGGGACCCCATGTTGGTCTGAGCCTTTTCCTTACAGAAAGGGAGCCTCGACCTTTCAACCAGCCTTGCAGTTTGGTTTCGGCGCTTGGATCTTTAGGTGTCCCTACGTATCTGTATCGGTCAGGCATCCCTTGAGGAAATCTCAACGGAGCGGTCGTATTTGCCCCGCTGAGCTGGTGGACCCTTAGCTTAGTGAGAGCACTTGTTACACTGTATACTTTCCAGAGGATACTAAATGTGAAGCGGGAGCTTGACGAAATTTAGCAGCGTGGATTTCGTAGTTTCCCGAAGTTTTTACTTATTCCTCCAAAAGGTGTGTGTGTGTTTTTTTTTGGGAATTAAGACGATAGTTTTTCCGTTAGAGGGGAGAGCCCTCAAGTTATTTTTCTGTAATGAATTTTGCAATAAATTTTGTGGTGTTTTACCGACGTTATAGCCCCTGAAGTGTTGAAATCTTTCGTGTTGAAGAAATCTTCACCGCTCATTTCAAAGGCGGTATTCGCGGTAAGTCAGAAAGAAAAGATCTGTCGGGGTCGGAAATAGAAGTGTACATGTAATTTGACTCGCTGATGAAAAAAAAGCAGAGGAAAAAGTCAAAAAAGTTCGGAACCAAGCTCCACCTGTGCTAAGCCAGAGGTAAAATCGATGTGGTTCTCGGACGAGGGAGCAGACAAAGGCCGAGAGCACGCAAACGAGTAAGCGGCAAGATATCTATCACCGAGGGTGGAGTCACTGACTTTTCGGCGGAGTGACTTGTAGTGACTTGCAAAACCTTTTGCGCTACCGCTGCCACCTCATAACTTTCTGAAGCCAATTCTGTACAGGATTGTTCTCGCGGCTTGCTCTATCATCCCCGTCAGCGCTTCGGTAGTTATACGTGATCCTAGGCCTTTACCATTATCATTCTACCATTATTTACCATTATCTTCTACCATTATTTTTATGTACTTTCAACTTTTCAGTGTTCTTAACTGTTCTTGTTTTGGAGTTACTAGACTTGTTCACTATTGTGTTGTGTTGTTTCTTTTTCACCACATGTCTCACATGAACCTCCTTCGGGACTTGTTTAGCAGCTGTCGTGTGGATGTTGCCAGAGATCAGGAATCGTGCTCACCACTTTGTAAAATACTGTTTCGGATGTGGTGATCCCCCCCCCTCCTCCCCAATACCCTATTTCTCCCGCCGATTATTCGCTCCTCATAGAACTCCTGCAGTGCTGCAACAAAACAAAATTCCCAAGACCTTTCCATGGATTCTCTGACTTTTTAGATCAATACCGGCACATTCCTCTTAGCGGATTCCCCGATTCTCCAACTGCATTGCGCCACGCTAGAGCCCCCGCCTGAGACAATGAGCGTCTACCCATTTCGCATAAGATCTTTGGTCGATAGCAAGCGATCTTTCCTTTGGGCGCGAAACAGCACATTAAACCATCCAACGCACAAGTCTAAGTGTCACGATAAGAGTATAAAAGCCCATAAATGTAGGCTTCGTCCATCCAAACACATCAGCGAGCAGTCTCTGTTACCTTGTGTCCACCTAGATGCGCCCGCTAACACAGAATAATACTTATGTAAACACCACACTCTTGTTAAGCCTGATCATTCGCTTTATGAAACTCATCGGGAAGCTCGCGAAGAAATAATTAGCAGCAAGAATAGATCATAATAAAATCACAAATAGAAAGTGCTTTGAGAACAGCCGTTCAGAGAAACTTTTACAACGTATGCAGTATATAGCTGCAAAAAAATGAGATGCATAGTGAATTGGGCAATTGCTTTTCTACTCTTCTGCGTAGGTGTCGTTCTCAACGGTTCCTTCTACTTCGCCATCATCATCAGCAGTCGCTTCTTGGTATTGTTGATATTCGGACAACAAGATCGTTCATATTCGATTCGGCTTCAGTGAATTCCATTTCGTCCATACCCTCACCAGTGTACCAATGTAAGAAGGCTTTGCGACGGAACATGGCTAAAAATGAGAGATACAAAACTGATCACCGCTCAACAGACGTTACAATAGAACAAACCGTACCAGTGAATTGTTCTGAGATGCGCTTGAACAGTTCTTGGATTGCTGTCGAGTTTCCAACGAAAGTAGCAGCCATTTTCAATCCGCGCGGTGGGATGTCGCACACGGCTGTTTTAACATTGTTAGGGATCCATTCAACGAAGTATGATGAGTTCTTGTTTTGTACAGACATCATCTGGTCATCGACCTCCTGAAACCATCTCTTCAATAGAAATGACACAAAACAAAGTGTGCGACAGCGACAAGCGGCAAAGTTGCCAGAAACATAGATCGTGTTTCAAATCGCGAGTTTGAAATCCCCGCCCAGGCACAAGCTTTCCAGCTCTATCGGTCCGCTGATCCACCTGGATATAAGGAGCGCAGGTTTATGCTAAGGATGGCGACTGCAACTCAAAACTCAAGCCGAACTGATCCCGAATGCCGCACGATTGCTATGACGATCTGGCGGCGGCTTCCAAAGGGGGTTCAGCCATGATGTGGCGACGGGTGAAAGAGCGGTGTTTGTATGAACCCAAATTTTCTCCTTCGGTGCGACCTTTATTTCCAATCTAGCTATGCTCTCACCACATTTTCTCGGATTTTGCCGTCCAGGGGCCAGGAAGACATCTCCAGATACAGAAATAGTTCGGTTGTACTGCCGACTAGGGTTGATGCAGCCGCTCCAAGCCTTGCCGTCACATGACTTACCCCTTGCAGGATGACGTCTTTATATAGCGCGCGTGAAACGGGAGAAATACGTAAAGGATCAAACGATAGCCTTCACTACTGACCAATCCACCCAGGAAAATCTAGCACCAATTAGCCAATTACCGCCCCCGGATCATCACCCGCTCAGGCTTGGATGACGTGGACGGAAGCCGTTCCAGGATTTGACACCGGGACTGCGGGTGTGGTAAGCGTGCCACTTGCCTCAACACCTCCACCGCCTCGGGAAAAATCAATGGTCGCAGAAATCTCTCTGAAAAGGCCCCGCTCAGCCAGCAAAGAAAAAGACTCCTGATCGTAGCGCACAACTACTTGCACCTTGTGCTTAGCAACAAGATCCTCTTCCTCTATATGAGTAATGTTCAACTCACGCGCATGCTCATACGGCCTCTGAACATAGCCGCAACGGTGAGATAACGGCCATGTCGTGGATCACAAGCTGCCATCATGTTCTTAGCATCGAACATCTGAACCACAGAATCATTTGAGACGAAAAGCACGTAACAGAA